GGGACTCTGATGCGCCCACCTAGGTGGCTGCACGGCCCTCAGAAGGACCCTCAGAGGCAGCAGGGGGAGGAGGCGGCACGCCCAGGTCTTTAGCATCTCAAACACCTGAGCATGGAGATGCTAATGGCCACGTAGCGCCTGAGGCTCTGAGTCCTCCCCTCGGAGACAGGAGCAGGGTCAACCAGAGGCCCAGAGTTTGGGGGTCGGGTCTCAGCCCAGGACTTGGTGGCATGTTGTTCTTCATCGAGGGGAAGATGCAAGTTCCACGCCACGGCACTGAGAGCCACGGGGGTGTCTGGGGCCGTGGGGCTGCGGGGATGGGGATCCGGGGCTTAAGGGGGGCTCGGGGGAGTGCCCCGCTTCCCACATGTCCCTCGTGGACACTTGCTCAGGCCTGTGCGGACGTGGGTCGCGGAGCCGGTGAACCCCAACTTTTGCCGCCACGTGTGAGTCGCGGCTGCCACCTCGCGGCCACGGCTGTCTCCACACACATAACTGATCCGGCACATTCGGGGCTGTGACCAGCACCGGGGTCTGTGCCCAAAGCAAGTAGAGGACCTGAGATTCTGCTGTGCTGGACGGGGCACACCCAGGACCAAGTGCCACGTGGGGCGGGTCTCCCCTCGTGGCCGAGCGCCACGTCCTCCAGGCGTGGGGACCCCTCATGGCCCCGAGTATTTCCTCTACTCCGCACCTTCAGTGCGCAGCCTGGGGAGGCTCAGACGGGCACCCGATTCCCTGACGACCCCTGTGGACCCCAGGATATCTGGCCTGGGCTGACCCGAGGGGGGTCATCCCAGGACTTGGTGGCACGTCCTCTTTTATCACCTAACATAGAAGATACGAGTTCCACGCCACGGCACGTAGTGCCACGGAGGTGTGGCCGTGGCCGTGGCGCTGTGGGATGGCCCGAATCGGGGCTCAGTGGGGTCTCGAGGGAGTGCCCCGCTTCCCGCATGTCCCTCATGGACACTGTCTCAGGCCTGTGGGGACCTGGATCGCGGAGCCGGTGAACCCCAACTTTGCCGCCACGTGTGAGTCGCGGTTGCCACCTCGTGGCCACAGCTGTCTCCACACACAACTGACCGGGCACATTTGGGGCTGTGACCAGCACCGGGATCTGTGCCTAAAGCAAGTAGAGGACCTGAGATTCTTCTGTGCTGGACGGGGCACCCCCAGGACCAAGTGCCACGTGGGGCGGGTCTCCCCTTGTGTCCGAGCGCCACGTCGTCCAGGCGTGGGGACTCCTCATGGCCCCAAGTATTTCCTCTGCTCCCCACCTTCAGTGCGCAGCCTGGGGAGGCTCAGACCAGCCCCGTCTT